TTGACTCTGACCTTTCAGTTGTCATTTTTTTTTTTTACTTCTATCCTCTTTCATACCTTAGCAGTATTTGCTGAGATGACTCAGACCTTCTTTATTAAGAGATAACTCATAAAACAACAACTCAAATATAATGGGCCTCAGTAGGAAATCTTGATTTCCCACCTCAAACTCAAACTTCTCTCCATTAAGCATATTCTAGTTGGTAATAATAAAAAGTATTGAACAGATATTTAGATATTGTGCTATTACTTTATATATATTAACTCTTTTCACCATCACAATAATCCTGTGAAATACAATCTATTTTGCCCAGTTTTATAAATAAGAAAACTAAGTCCAGAGAGTTTATGTAATTTGCATGAGGTAAAATGCTGGTCAGTGGTGGTCCATGTATGTGAACAGTAGTACCACCATTCATCCAGTGACCCAAGCCAGAAACTTAGGAATCAGTATTAATTTCTCTTGTTCCCTTTCTTTCTACATTCTTACCATCGTAGGCCAGGCCACCATGGTTTCTCATCTGCACCACGGTACCAGCCCTCCAACTATTTTCACTCATGTTTCTTATAGATTATTTTCCATATAGCTGATGTGTGGATTTGATAAATCCACAATCATAATGAGATTTTTAACAAACTTCTTTCAAAACCTGACTTCATGTTATTGACATAGTTGTATAGATAAAAATGTATATTGTGTGGATAACACAATTAACAAACTAAATCTGATGTTTGCATATGAAATATTGCACATATATACAAAGATAAAGAATATACTTTTTTTCCAAAAACACTTGGAACATTTACAAAACTTGACTTTTGCCTAAGTCACATAGTCTCAACCAATATCAAATAATCATTATCCTATAGACCACAATATTTGATCATAATATAATAAAATCACAAACCAGTAACAGAAAGGTAGTCAACTTCTCAGCACTGTTTTCCCCTTACTCTTCCCCCTATAAAAGAGAACTACAATTCCCAGACTCCCTTGAGCTCTGGCATTCAGTCTCTGCCAAAGGAACACAGGACAGGATGGCTCTGAGCTTAGATTGGGAGGAAGAGTGGAAAAAGCAAGTTGTTTCCTCCTTGCCACAGATAGCTTCTCTTGGCTTTCAGCTTCTGTTGGGACATCCCCACTTCAGATGACTCCAAGTTTAAGCTTGGGGTAAGCCACCTCCTTCTATCATCCCTTTAGACCTACAATGGTAATGGCTTCCTGCTGTTGCTACTTTCTGGATTGACTCATTGTACCCAGTTGGCTTCTTAGCACAGAGTCACCATGGAATCAGTTCTCTGAATTAAATCCTTTCCAGTCAAATCTATATATCTACATTTATTCATTTATCATTGTTATGTAAAACTTTGTGGTGGAAGAGCCCAAAGAAAGAGGCTGACAACTCCAGCATTACAATATAAGTTTATTAAGGGAATCAATATAGAAACTCATCTTGGGCAGCAGCAAGATGACATGGATATCCTCAAGGCTATATGGCAGGTGCCAAGCAGATATATATGACAAAACAGGATGGATAGGGGTATTAGCATGTTTCCTGCCCCAGGTAAGGGGGAAATGCCTTACATACTTACACAGGGTAGGGCAAAGGCTGTTCTAGGAACCAGCATGCTTGGGGCAGAGGGGAGGAGTCAGACAGCCTCTGAAGGGGTTTACGGAAAGCAGTCTCTGTTCTGGCCCAGATCTAGCTGATCTAGCACAAAGGCCTGGCAGCAGCAGCCAGACAGGGTCAGGCATATCACGGATCAGTGTTTCTTCCACAGTCCTCTATCTCTCTGTCATGACCAATATAACGCATATATTTAGAAATGACATCTAAATAATTTATGGGTTAATATTTGGAGATGAGCAACAATATAAACTATATATCTTTGATTTTGGGGGGATGTAAGTAAAGTATCACTTACAGAGAAATTTATATATCAAAAAGTAAGATCTCAAGTTGATCTTCCTGGTTTGCCTTACTTGTACTATACAAGGTACTTGTACTTACTTGTACTATACAAGGTACTATGTGCCTTACTTTGTACTATATTCACTAGTCTATTTGTTTTAATTATTTTCCTTTTTCCACCAATTACAATTTTATAATTACACTTTTAGAGTTATAATTATAACTCTTTTCCTTTTTTATCAATTATTTGATTTTTGAGGCACCTGTAGCTCTGTTGCTAACCTCCATTTATACTACACAGTTAGCCTTGGAAGCAATACTTCCATGCCATGCCTGCCCCAGGCTTTAACTTTGTGCTGGTTGGTATACTATAAAATTTATACTGTTGCCCTGGCTTCTCTCCTAACCTCCATCCCCATATTTATAAATGGGTATAGACATACATTTTCAGATCACCCAATTTAAAATAGCTAAAACTAAGTTCATCATCCTGCTCCTCCACCTCTAGAATATCCTCTTCTTAATCCTCTGCATGGCCCTGTCACTTTTCCCAAAACCTGTCCTTGAAAACTCAGATACTCTCAGGGAAGAAACTACATTTCACTCATAGTAATGGCTTTTGTTCTAAGGAAAAAGCCCAACATGCTAAGTATGAAATAAGTATCTTTTGAATCATCAAAGGCCTCCACCCTCTTTCTAATTCCATATACCTTTCTATTTTTTTATAGCTCTATAATGCCCTCTCAAACCCCTCCTTTTCCTTCTATTTTTGTTGTGACTAGTCCTCTTGACCACTCATCTGGAGAGGTCAAAGGCAGGCTGAAACTCTGAGTTAAATTAAACTAATCTCATAATAGAAATCATGTTAAAATGCAAAATACTTCTTAGTCCACAGGAAGAGTGAGACCTGACTGCAAGTTTCTCAGAGCATAATTGAGAAAGAGTGTGTTGATTAGATGGGGTGTTGGTATGCAGAAAACACGGTAAAGGCTAATGATGCCAGCAGAGCCTAGTCAAGCCCTGCTCAGAATGCCTCCCAGTCCCAGGGGTTCAGCTTCTTCTGGTGATGGATGTCCAGTTGTTGCAGTATTTTTTTGTTGGCTTTAACTTCTCCAGAACCAAACCCGATCAACCTCTAAATTTCTGGCTATCCCACAACTATTCCTTCAATTATCCAGGCTCAGAATATAAAAATTATTACAGACTCCTTGTCCCTTCTATTTCTTGTATCTACTTGATTGATCCATTTTGATTCTTATTCTTTCCTTTTCTCTCTCTTTTTTATTCCTGCTTCTTCCCTTCCAGTCGTAACTCATGAGTTACTCATTAAAACACACCCAAATTAGTGTGTAACTAGATTGCTTTGCTTATTATCACCCCTCCTGAGAGTCCTGCCCATAGTACTAGATTCCTCAAATTCTGTGTTGCCTTTCACTATGTAATGACAGAAGACCCAGGAGCATACAAAGATTCCTAGCAGCCTTTCCATCCTGGTATTTAAAACAGGCACCTCCTTCCTCAAAACCTAGCACTTCCCTTCTCACCAACATTGCTGTGGGTTTCAGCCATATGGAGTTCTCTTCCCTTCTCTGAACAAACTATGTTCATATTTGTTCCCCACACTTTGCACTGAGGGTTCCCAAATCAGAGCCATACATCAAAGTCCCCTTTCCTCCTTAAAACTTTTGCTGATATTCCTGACTGAGATCCATTCCTTCCTTCTCTGGCATTCTTTAGGCCCAAGGACATTTAGGTGGAGTGAATTTGCCACGAAGCTAATGAGGCTTACATTTGAGGGCCCCTTTCTTGAAACCCTCTCCAAGACTAGGTACTTAATTTTTATATATATATATTTTTTCTTAAAAGAAGATCTTTCAAGTCATAAAAGCCTTGGGTCTTACATCAACTGGATCTGTTCCTGAGTTTAGGTACTTAATTATATTCTTTCCTTGAAGTGTTTTCAAACTGGTTAATGCATAATCAATTTGTTTTCTCAACTTAGAGTTTACTGCTCTATAATGCTGTACAGCATATAGAGCGGTAATTAAAATGGTCATTGGCGAAGATCTATAGGCTCCAAACATCACCTCCTCCATTGCCTCACTTTGTGACAACTTTTACTTCTTATCTTTATTGAGTCTCAGTTTCTTCATCTGGTAAGTGGAAGTGACTATGGTGAAGATTGCATTATGACTTTCACAGGTTCACAGGCTTTTGCCTTATGGGCCCCTTATTCCATAAAAATATTGCAAACTATACTATTTATGACTGTGAGTATAACGGCTAATATCTGTAAGTATAAAGGCTAAAATAAAGGTTATTTTCTCTTTTGATTCTGAAAGAAACTAAAACATTTTCATGGAATTCTAAAAGTATTGTGGACCCCAGGCATGGTGGCTAGTGAGCCTAATGATTGGGTCAGCCATGATTACGGTATCCATGCAGTAGGAGTGTATTGGGTAAATGATAAATGAGACAATGAATGTGAAGCACTCATTGAGCAACAAAGTGCCTGACACACTTTAGGTGCTCAATAGATATTAGCCATTATTATTTTTGTTACTACATGCCTCTTTTGTACCCTTTACAGTGAATAATTAATATAAATGCTTACCAAAATTATTTGAATAGAGCATATTTGTAGTGTTAAAAGACAAACTGAGGCATCTTACATTTTTAAGTTTATTTGAACAAAAATTTATTGGAAAAGGCAGCACCAAACTGAAAGAGGTTAGGAATGCTACACAGATGGGAGCCAGTGGAAAGACTTTTAAAGAGAAGAGATGGAAGTAAAGCAAGGAAATTATTTGACTGGCTATAGGTTAAGTGGTTGCCTTATCTGGGAAAGCCTAGTTTGCTGTCTGTGATTGGTTGTCCTTAGATTTTGGTTTCTTAACCCTGGAGCAATCAGACATATTTTTTGGTTTGCTTACTTAGGCTACTAAGGTACTAAAGCTACCTCAGTCTAATGGCCTCCTTGTTTAATTAATTTAACAGTGGCAATGGGAGTTGGGAAACAGAAATGCCACATTATTGTGTATTACAATATCAATTAAAGCATTTACTATGTATTTGCTTGTGTTTCCAGGCTTGACGCCCACCGTGCATTTACAAGAAATTATTGTCTGCCAAGTAGAGGATCAGATACCTTTGACTCGAACTTCTCAAGAGTCTCTTGAACATTAGATTTCAAGACTTCACCTAAAAGATTCTAGTTCTGGAGGGGGATCTGAAGGTATGCTTTTTTTTTTTTAATCTCACTCCAAAGGTGATTTTGAAGAGCAGCTACATTTGTCAGAAACCATCATCATAGGCAAGTCAGTAGAAGACAGAGGTGACTGCAAGAGTGGCATGTGAGGGCTCTGACTAACCTCTTCTCAAACTTTGTAACACCCACCCCCAATCACTGCAAATAAAAATAGCATGTCTGCAACACAAATTCAGCTTCAAGACAAATCCTTTAGACACTAGATTGTACCCTATAACTTCCTTAACTAAGTAATTCTGAAGTTGCCAGCAGAAATAACATAATCCATACTGTAGCTCTCAAGAAACTTCTTAGATATACACACAGAACTAGGATAGCATACCTTAAGGGCTAAGTGAGTACTGTAGACACGGAGCATTCATTCAGAGGAAGAAGCAATTACTACATGCTGAGTTGTTGGCAGAGGCCTTACAGTGAAGAGTGATTTCAGCAGTGTTGTGGAAGAAGGCAGACTGGTATGTATGTTAGTAAGGAAAAGGAATGCTGGACTGGGCAGAGGGGGTCAGCAGACCTAGGAATAAATCTAATTTTGCCAGTCACTAGCTGTGTGTTTTTGAAAATGAAGGTACAGAAAGATATAAACCTGTCAGCATCTATTTGAATAGAAAATATGGTATAATAGTGCTAATATTTGCAACGATATAATTTAAATCAAAAACATTTTTAAGAATAAAGAGAAATAACTCTATGATAAGGAACAGTCCACCAGGAAGATAGAATCATCGTGTAGTTATATGCTCTTCTCATTTAAAAAAAAAGCCTTGAAATAAGCTAAGCCCCTAACTGGGAGAATTTCACTCAAATAGCAATAGATCACCCATTTGAAACATTAATAAGGATAAAGAATAGTTGATCTGAACAACAAGAAGGGGAAACTGAAGCACAGAACAGTGAAATAACTAGCTCAAGATCACGTAGCTAGTAAGTGAGAGAACCAAGATTCAAATCAGGGAATACTTCTACTGCCAGACCTCAGCTAAAGTGGTATTTAGAGAGATAAACCATTGAAATGTACTTACAAAAATATATTTAAAATAAGTCAATCAAGTGTTTAATATTCAATTTAACAAGTCAGAAAAGAATAAATCTCCAAAGAAGAAACAAAATATGAAAACTCAAAGTGGGTTCTCGGAAAAGCCTTATCAAACAGACTTCTTAACTTATTGACAGAGAGAAATTCACAGAGAATTTGAGAGTGACAGAGAGAGGAGCAAAGAAGAGGGCATAACTAGAGATACAGCTGAGATTTAAAAAAAATTATAAATAATAGTATGAAGAACTTCCTGCCAATAAATTTGAAAACTTTAAGAAAATGTATTGTTTTCCAAAAAAGAAAAATTACCAAAATGCTAAAAAATGAAAATACAAAGGAAGAAATGAAGAGTAATCAAGAAACTTCCAACCTTCTTCTTATCACTTACAAAGGCAGGTACAGACAATTTTATGGTGTATTTTAACAAACCCTTAAAGAAAGATAATCTGAAAGTTTTCAGAGATTTAAAGAACAAAGAGAAAAAGGAAGAAGAGGAAAACCATGTACTTTATTTTATGAAGTTATAACTACCTTGACACCAAGAAGGGATAATAAGAGTACAAGAAAAAAAATTAAAGATGAAAATTTTGTAAGTAAGGTATTAGCCAACAGACCTTCAGTCTGAGTCCCAGTGATATCTATTTGCAATGTGGAAGTAGAAAGAAGGCAGAAAGAATTTTTTAGAGAAAATTTTAATTGTTTTTATTTTTATTATTTTCTTAATCCTCACCCAAGAATATGTTTATTGATTTTAGAGAGAGAGGAAGAGGGGGAGAGAGAGAGAAACACTGATCAGTTGCCACCCATACATGCCCCAACCAAAGATTGAACCCACTACCTGGATATGTGCCCTGACTGAGAGTTGAACCCGTCACCTTTTGGTGTATGGGATGATGCTCCAACTAACTGAACCACCCGGCCATGGTGGTAGAAAGAAGCTTAACTCAGTGAAACTGCTGGGTCTTCCTGAGTGCCCAGTTTTCCGGATTAGGAAGGATGAGGCATCCACCAAAATACAAGGACAATTTTTTAAATTGGATCATCCTATGGCCTGAAAATGTGAGTTCCTGTGCCATTACCATTGACAGTTTGCTGTTCTTGCCTTGGGTAGATGGAACATGCCTGAGATGCTTGTCACCACCATCACCTTACCAGGATACTGGACAGTCAATACCATACAGGGTGTCTAATATTAGATTACCTGAAGTTGCAAGAATTTTGTTAGAACCATTAATTCCAACCTTCTTCTACAGCATACCTTCAACTAGATTAGCTAGTGCACAATAAAACTGCTTCTGTTCCTCCTTCTGGGTTACATGCCTAATTGTTTCTACTTTTATAGCCAACACTTGGCCAAACAAAAAGTTCACAAAAGGTACTTGCAGGGTGTCAGTTGTCAAAATCTCTTTTTGTTTTAATTAATTAATTGAGTTTATGTTCTTTATGCTGTGAATAAGAAAGTCTCTGTATCAGAGAGATGGTACTTAATATGTTTTTGCTTTTCCTGCCTTTCAGCCATAATCTAGTAGGTGATTTTAGAGCCATTTTATTTAATAATATATATAAAACTATATAATTTTCTATTTGCATATAGGAGACAACATTTAATATTAATTATGAATAAGTGCTTTGGATTCAGAAAAGGTTGTGTTCAAATCTTGGCACTAATAGAAAAGGTCTGGAAATAAACACACCCAGTTATTAGAGGTTTACCTGTGGTATGGGGCACTGGAGAGAAGCTAGGCACTCGACTTTTGCTTTACCCTCCTCTAGATTATGTTGACTTGTTACAATGAGCATGTATGACTTTTGTAACTTGAAAAGAGGAGAAGGGAAGAGAGAGAAAACTAGTTCTGTGACCCTAGGGAAACAATTCTGCCTCTTTATACTGCAATTTATTCACCCATAATATGGGGAATTTTGAGGAATTATTATGAGGGACACATGAGACAATGCATATAAAGCACTTAGCATTCTGCCTGTTACAAATTCTGCACTCAATAAATATAGCTATTATCACCAGGCAAAGTGATCTAGTAAGTATTCAAAACATGCTTAAGTAGTCAAAAAAAAACAAATTTTAAAAAGTGATAGGTATTAGTAATTATGTTTTTAAAATGTATTACAATTTATTTTGCTTATTCTCTTTTTGCTGGACAGGTTCTCCTTGTTTCTTTTTTTTTAAGATTTATTTATTTATTTTTAGAGAGGGAAGGGAGGGAGAGAGAGAGAGAGAGAGAGAGAGAGAAACATCAATATGCGGTTGCTGGGGGTCATGGCCTGCAACCCAAGCATGTACCCTGACTGGGAATCGAACCTGCAACACTTTGGTTCGCAGCCCGCACTCAATCCAGTGAGCTATGCCAGCCAGGGCTTGTTTCTTTGCTTTGTGTTATTTGACCTTGGTTCTTTGTTTAAAGAAAAGATTGGCCTAAATTGAAAGTCATTCTTCAAAATAACTGTCCCAGATTCTTCAAAAGTATTAATGTCATATAAACAAAGATTGAGGAATTATTAATGCTAATTTCATGATATGAATAATTGAATGCTCATTAATGTCTGAAATTATGTTAAAATAATTAGTTACTAAAAATAGGCAGATGATAGAGGAAGATTGTGAATCATTGCTAATAGAACATAAATTAATACAATTTCCCTGAAGGACAAATTGGAAATATCTTTCAAAAACAGAAATGCACATATCCTTTGACCCAGGAGTTCCACTTCTAAGTAATTATCCTACAAAGATGGTTCCACATGTGTGAAATGATTCAAATAAAATGGTATATTCATTGCAAGAATTCCTTGACAGAACAAAGTTTGGATACAACATGCATGACCATCGGTAATGGGATGCTTAAATAAATTCTGATACACTTATAAAATAGAGTAAAATGAATATAATAGACTGCTCTAAATGTACTTTTTCTGGAAAGAATTTCTAGAGTAGGGAAGTTAAGAGAATAAAGTACAGCATGTTGGGCTAAAAAGCACCAAAATATGTGGGCTTTTGCAAGAGTGTAGCCCTAAAGTAGAGTTTATAATTTAACATTTAAATTTTGCTTCTATACGAAGAGTCAACAAGGTTTTGCTTGTGATTTGATTTTGTGGCTGTGATTATCTTATTCTCTTTCAACATGGTAACCCTAACCCTCACTGTGATTCTTTCAGAAAGAGGGAATAACTTTAGCCTCATCTTTACCAGGCACACTGTGGCTACCTACAGTAATTGACCTCATAAGTGAATTGGCCAGTCAATAGACACTGATGGATGGTCATGGCACACCCAGTAATACCCTTTTACAGTTTGCTGCCACAACACACTCTAAGTGCTTGTGTGAGAATGATTCAACAAAATGAGGAACCATAGATTCTAGGGATGTGTCAGATCTAGAAAAGCCATTACAGCACAAGTTCCTTTCCCCACAGTGGCTAGGCAACCTCCTATCTCTCTGAGGTAAAGAAGAAAATCAAGTCAAACAAGCCCTCCTGCAGACAAGGAATGAGATAACTTCAGGTGGCATCTTGTTTCTGGTAATGACACTAAAGTGTATTTTTTGGTATGGACTATTATACATTCTCCCCACTTCTCACCCAAGCAATCAAAATTTAACTATCATCTTTGAAATGTAGATAAAAAAAAAAACACCTACCCACTATTATTTCCCCTGCTGGTATTCTTGCATCGTCTATTTGTTTTACACATTTGTCCCAGGCTTCACGCCAAATACTAGCCCCCCCACAAGCAAAAAATAACCAAAACAAAACACTTGTTATAGAGTAAGATGGGCTGATGGTTTGAATCGTCCCTCCACTGAAGAAGAAACTATTCGGAAAAGAAGGCTGTAAGAAGTTCACAGATCCTGGTTGAAACGGGGAGCTCTGGAGTCAGAAGTCTTAAATTTGAAACCAGCTCTTAAAGGTATCA